ACAATCCTCGTAAGATTGAAACGTCGTAACAATACCGAGCATTCAGTACGGGATGCAGACCGATGGATTTCTACCCGGAATACCGTCGAACTTCAACATTGACCCAAGAATATTTTCCAGAAGAAACACAGGAAACAGACCTGGAAGAAAAACGGGCACAAGTAGAGGAATATCTACGGAAAAAAGCAGCGTGCAGGAAGAAACAATCCGAGAAGCACGAAGCTGCAAAAGACTTCGTACCAGGAGACAAGGTCTGGTGTCGACTCCATCGAAGATCCGACGCGAGCAGACGACTAACGAGAAAGATCCACCTAGTTTTCGAAGGACCATACGTAATACGAGAGGTCATACGCAAAAACGCGTATCTAGTAGAAACTACGGACGGACAAGCGATCGGCGTTTACAACGCTAGGCAATTGAGGCCACATCGCGAACCTACCTTGAGAAATTCCGACGAAGCAGACATCAACGCGATAACCATCGCAATGTTGAAACTCATACCTGAGTGGAAGCTGAAGCCATTCACAAAAATTCCACCAGAAGCAATTTTAATGGAGAAACAATGCCATACTGGAACCGTATTCGGTAACGCAAAAGACTGGATAGAGGTCAACGCGCGAAGATCCACGAGGGCTGAAGTATCCATGGCCGTGAAGAAACAAGCTGAAGCGAGAGGAAACGACGAGATCCGAAAGGTGTTGACAACTCCGGAATCCTCAGACGCAAAGCTGAAATCGAACGGCGTTCCAACAGACCAGATCGTAGCGAACGAGAGGAAAGCGGAAACAAAGGGACGCAAGGAGATCCGTAAGGTGTCTAACACTCTGGAATCCCGGGGAACGCAGCTCGAATCCAACAGCATCATCGACGAGGTCAGGAACAAATTCGGAACTGAAACTGAAAGGGGGAGAGAAGTCCACGGCGACGCATCAACTCGTAGATCCCTGGAAGCAGCATTTGAAAAAGAAAAAAGAATCAGTAAGGTCAAAGCAGAAGGGGGGAGGAAGAGCCAAAACAACGCATCAATTCAAAGATCCCTGGAAGCAGCACCTGAAAAAGCAGCGAAATCATTAGTAAGGAGAAACCGGGAAGGGGAGAGAAGTCCAGGCGACGCATCAAACTCGAAGATCCCTGGAAGCGGCACCTGAAAATGAAAAAAGAGTCAAAATTAATAAGTCTCACGAAGAAAAAGAAACTGTCACTTGCATCTTCAAAAAATCTGGAAACCTAGAAATAAAAAGGGAAAAACCAGACGAAGAAACAAATCGCATAATTTCGTGGTCCTACGGTAATCCGCAACCATTACGGAGAGCCAATGAACAATTGTGCATGTTTAACGGTGTACCGGCGATAGCCAATAAAAAGGATCGAACGATACGCAAGTGGTGGGGAGCTAACCCACTCAACGCGGCGCGAGACTCGCTCAGTCGCGACCGAGCAACCGCAGCGAGCGCAATGGCAGCGAACGAAACGATCGGTGAGCAATTGAAATCTCTGGCGCAGGAAGAGGAGAGCCTGAAAAGGCAAATCAAACAACTCCTCGAGACGCGAACAAGAAGCATCCACGCGCTACAAAGGAGACAAAGACGAGTCGAAAGACTTAAGAAAATCGCTAAGGAACTTGAAGAAACTCCTGTGATCGAAGACAACAGTGACGGCGAGGAGGAAACAATCAAGATTCTACACAGCGTAAACACGACTAAGAGAAATCCTGAGACGGTGCTGGACAGATTCACTCTGCAGAACGACGACGAAGGCGTTCAAGTATCGCTCATGGCAAGCATCACTGTACGCAGCACGAGCCAAAATCCAACGCAAGTGGAGAGGCCATTCACGCTCGTATATGATATGACAAACGGCAAAGCAACGCGGAAAGTATACGCGGACTGGGCGACAAGAATTACCGCACATCCAGTCGAGGAAGCCGATAACTACGAGGCAGTTCAAATCATTAATTATGAAGAAAGAGCAAGGAAA